GAAACATGGAAATGTGAAAATATCAATGCACATTTTCATAAAAATACGAAATTACTGAAATTACAGGCAAAAAGTACATATACTAAACTCTACTATAAAGGTAGGTAAAGCTGTACTTTAATTACATTTACATTTAGTTACATTTACAACTGTACTTTTTACATTGCTGGAGTTTTTTCCTTGTGAAGAGGAGCTAGGATATTGCTGAAGAAAACTGACACAACCAGGATGGGGCAGTGTGCCGTGCTCTGTGCAGACGGCTGCCAGGGGCTGCCTGAAGAGCGCCCTGCTGCAGCCAGAGCCCCTCATAATTTGCCTCATCTGCCTTTTTATACAATCTGGTCTCATAAAACAGATGGATTTTTATTTATTTACTGTGGGACATAAAGACAGCTCAACAACTGCACCAGTGTTTCATTTCTTCAAACAAAATTGTATACAAAACAAGTTCTATGAGAAAGTTCCATCAGAGTCAAAGCAAGTTGCTGCATGGTTCAGTGAATTCAGTTATTTTAGAAATACAGCCCTTAGCACAACCCAGGCACACCCCTGACACTTTCCAGCAGTATGAGATAATCTCTATGTAGCAACAGGCTCTTCAGGCTCAGGGTGTTCCTTCCTGAAGCCTTTTCTTAGCAGTCCACTCAATACTCAATGAGTTAACTGCTGAGTGGAATCAAACTCCATACCATGTGGAACTGTAATAAACAGACAGTGTGACGCTGGCTCTCGTGAACCTTAAATGTATAACGTTAAAAGAAGTTCTGCTGACGTCTGGAGTTTTTATAGATGACTTTTGTAATGTTGAAAGTTGATCTCCGACCATTGGGAAAGCCAAAGTGAGAGGTGGGACAAAGGAGGAGCTGGGTTGGAAAAGTGCCATGTGCGTGAGTGTTGGGGGTTGTTGCCTTGCCAGGTGATTAGTGTGGCAATAGCCTTATCTATTAAGGATTGTTGTGGGTGTGCGCAGTGTGCCTCTGGATCTAGTTAAGCACCCTTTTATCTTATTTTTGTTCCTTGTTGTAGGTTAGTTTTTTGGTGGGGTTTTGTTTTGTTTTGTTTTGTTTTTTTGGTTTTTTTTGTTTTTTTAAGACGAGAGGATCATTTCTCACAGATGCCAAAAAAGGTGAGGCCCAAGCTGCCCCTTTTCCTCACACACACACCCCCGGAACATTCCAGGCTAACAATCGCTTCCAGTCTCACACTCACACACGTCTGACCAGTCTTTCACTCCTGACTCTTCTGGAAGCATCATCCCAGACCTCCTGCAGAACCTGTTTGATGGTCATGACTTGAAGAAGCGTGTTTCCTGGGCTGTTAGGGTCCGCTTCCGCTAGCTACAGACCCTTGCCCACACAATACTTCATAGACGATGGTAAAAGATTAGAGAGGCGCTCTCCTCCACGTGGGAAAACGTTGTCCTTATTCCAAGACACACATCAGGCAGACAAACCCATGGGAGAAAAGAAGGCTTTCCCTGGCAGCTGGGAGCTTTTATACCCCCTGGGATGGGGACAGAGGGGAGAGGTCCACAGCCAATGGGACACCAGTGAGGAGTGGTGAGGGGAAGGGTAACCCAGAGGAGAGACCACCAGGTGGTACTGGGACAGGTGAGGGAAAGACCATGTGATGGGGAAACGGGGTAACAAACCACGTGATATAACATAAGCTATGCAGTGCAATATGAAAGTATTCTGTGCAAATTCCCAATCACCCAGTGCAAGAGAACAACTAAACTGGTGCACCAGAATGGTGACTGAGGGAGCTTTTCCTGCAGCCCTGGAAAGGACTCTGGGGCCCTTGGCCGATGATGAGGGTCAGGGAGAAGCACCAGTCTGAGACAGGAGAGAAAGCAGAGACCAAAATTTCTCTAGCAGAGAAATAGAAATTTATTTCCGTCTCCTGAACCTGCGCCGTCTGCGCCGCCGTTTGGAGCGCCGGCAGTTCCTCCTCCTTTGGAGCTCCAGGACGTGCTGGAGGGTGGGGGCCCTCCTCTTTCGGAAGCAGGGGAGCATTGGAGGCGAGCGGCTCCTGCCGCGGATGGTCGGGGAGGGGCTGGGGCCAGGGCTGGGGCTGGGGCCGGGGCTGGGGCCGGGACTGGGGCCGGGACTGGGGCCCTGGGCAGGGCGAGCTGCCGCAATGGCCACCTCCTGGCTCTGCTCCTGGCTCTGCTCCAGATTCTGCTCCTGCCCTGTGAGCACAGACACGGTCGAGGGCTGCCCGGGAGCCCCCTGCCGGTCCGCAGCGGGCCCGGCCGGGCTGCTGCTCTCCGCGGCCTCGGCCCGCCGCTGCCGGCCCCGCCACGCTCCTGCCAGGCTCTGCCGCAGCCGGGCCCACACGGGACTCAGTCCACCGACAAGCTGCACCCACACCCTGGACAGGAAACCCACCGTGGGCATAGGCTGAGGGTGCCCTGTGGTGTCCATGGAGTGGTGGCTTGTCGCTGTCTGGTTGGTGGCTTCGGGCAAAGCTCTGGACGGGGTCTCCATGGCCACAGCTGCTTGGCACAGCAGGCAGAGCTCAGCGAGCACCACGAGCAGCTCTCCATGAGCCCAGAAAAAAAGCCACTCTGAGCCCACACTTGCCCCAGTACAAACACTGGGGGTCTTGAAGTCACAATGCATCCACTGGTGACATCACAGTCATCCAGTGAGATCATCCCATTGTGCCAACATTGTGACCTCAATGCTTATCTCACAATCTGTGAGTTACATGAAATTTCCATTATTCCTTGCTTCTTGAGTCTTTCCCCTGCAGTACTGGGCACCCTACAGAGACCAAAAGAGAGAATGAGAGACTGAAAAGACTGAGAAGTGTCCACCTGCCTGACCAAAAATCTGGGCAGTGTTGACACGGAGAAATTTTTCTGATGGCAAGTCTGCACAACAGATACACAATATTCCTGCAGTCTATTGGCTTCTTGATCTGGAGATTCTGTGAAACAATTACCACAGGCAGTCAAACGGAATCATTCCCACAGAAGATTCTTGTGAATGCTCTTGGAACTAACACCATTAGCGAAGTGCTAGCGTTTCACAGTTGAATTACATTATATGGGGAAGTTCTTTATTTTCTTTTTCCTGAAGCTTGCAAGTATTTTGCTGGTCCTTTTGTTTGCAACGCAGCACATATTTTACACAGTTCCTTTATGAGTTTTAAAAATGCCAGACACTTGTATAATTTCTTTCTTTGACATGGAGTAACTTTATAAATATAACAAGTTCTGATTTTCTTGGTTTACTTTTTTAAGTAAGATTAAATCGTGATGGTTTAATCCTCTCACATTCTTGCAAACCTGTTGTGTTCCTTTATAATTTTATGGCGACTTTGCTGTCGTATTAAGCTGTTCAGTTTCTAAGAATGCCCAACAGTGCAGTGCAGTATTTCTGACTGCTGCTAGACAGAACTGTTGCATGGACTGCTAATACATCTGCTGGCTATGAAAACTTAACTGAGAAGTTGCGTGTGCAGAGCTAGAATTGTTTTTACAATGTATGGATTCCTTCTCATATTCTGCAAGTAAGATTTATCCACTCCCTACTCTAAGACACAATTCTTATAACACTTGAGACTGATAATTAGTTTTAACTCAGTTAACTACTATTAGGCTGATTGCAAACATAACTTAGCAATAGCAATGAACCCTCTGTTCTTCATTTTTAATGAAAAAAATGTCTAGACCTAAAATATGCTCCAGTTAAAATTCATATTTGTCAATGCATTTGATTAAAAATTTAGATCTCAGCAGTATTTTTTTCCTTGAGTTGCTTATGAATCTAGTATCTTCTATCACGTCCAAGTAGTTGCTGTGACTCATGTTTCTTGTGTCTGTTATAAATGCCAAGAAAATGCAATCTCTGCTCTTCTAACACAGCTCTCTCTGTTGATGATGTGGGACAGGGCGTGCTGATGGAAGGGACAGGGACGAGAATGCAGCAGGCACAGAGCCAAGCTGACAGAGGGATGATCTCTCTCTGGCAGTGGCACTGAAGGAGAAGAGTTTGCAGGCAGGACAGAAAATGGCTCTTTGTTTCATCTCTTCTTTCAGTGCTGCTAAGAATGTGGAGATCAGACACAAACTAGCAGGGCACTGAGGAGCCCCTGTGGTGGCAGTGAGCAGCTCCGGGCTCCAGGCGCTGCTGCTGGCATTTTCTATTGAGCCATCTCCAAGGTCTTCTGTTGTGCTTTGTATTTCCTACTCTGTCAGCAACAACCCCTGTCCTGAACAGGCTATAAAATATGAGCAAAACAGCTGAGAACAGCCATGCATGGAATCCTATGGCTCAGGAGCTCTCATGTCAGAGCCATGCCTGTGCCTTATGCTTGTCATCACCTCCTTCCCTGTGCACAAAATAGTGATTGGTGGAGATTTTTTTGCCCAAGAGCTCTTGAGAAGCAAATGTGTGCTGGGATTCTCATGTGTGTATTTACTGACTGCCTGGGCTAGCTCTTAGAACTCCAACACCATGCCAGGAGTGGGGAACTGCCTCAGTATGGGGATTTACCAGAGACAGAACCTTTACAGTCACTTGCTCTAAGGTGCCAGATGCAAGCCACAACCGGGACCAGGCACAGGAGAAAGGAGGAGGCTTTCCATCTTCAGCATTTACAATGAACAACAATTCATCCCCAGTGAAGGGAGGAAGACCAAACTAGCCACTAGTTGTGTTCTGCAAAGGGTTTTGAGCAGATACAAGTCAGGGGGTGGATACAAATAGCTAACCAATAGGAAATCTTCAGGGGAGGAGTGAGGAATTACATCAAGTGTTTGGGGCCAATTGAGGTAGGAGGGTAGAGAGAATGGATCACATGGGCCAATGGGGCTTCGAGGAGTAGGGGAATTCCAAAGGGGTGTTGCAGTTAGGGATTGGCTTGAGGTTTAAGTGGCAGAGAAGTTTCCATGGCAGGTGCCAAGAGAGGCTCTGGGGACATTGCAGCTGCCGCCAGCCCCCTGGACCCTCCCAGCCAGCCATGCTGAGCCCCCTTTCTCCCACCAGGCCATGTCTCCAACAGTGGCCTTTGTTTTGGCCCTGTTAGCCAGCCATGCTGGGCTGAAGTTGAATCTACAAATCAAAAAGGATGATGTTAAACGGATGCTGGAACGGGAGGAATATCTGCATCAGGAAATGACTCGGCTCCTGCAGGAGGTTGATAACAACAAATCCATCATGGAAAGCCTGCTCTGTTCTGCACAGCAGCTGCTGTGGCTGCCTTGGCTCACCAAGGCTGGGCAGAAAGGGAATCCAGAAACTGAAAAGAGTGAAGCTGAACGGATGCAGGAGCGTGAGGAGTATCTGTTTCAGGAAATTACTCGGCTCCTGCAGGAGATTGATGACAACAAGTCCATCATGGAAACCCTGCTCTGTTCTGCTCAGCAGCTGCTGTGGCTGCCTTGGCTCACCGAGGCTGTTCTGCTCTCTCTGGCCTTTTGGCTGGTCATGAGATGGAAGCGTGGCTCTGCCAGTAGGAGGAGGCAGGAGGGATCCAGCAGCCAGAAGGTCAGTGAGCATAAGGACAAGAGTGCAGACTTTTGGCTGTGCCCACCCCTTCACCAATGGGCACATCCAGGTTAAGGGTGGAGGGGGCTGTGAGCAACCTGATCTCCTTGGGAATGTCCCTGCTCATTGTTGTGGGGTCACCCTGGACGGTCCTTAAAGGTCACTGCCAAGCCCAGCTGTTCTGTGATTCTGTCATTCTGCAGCAGGGCCTGCCCAGCACGAAGGTGCTGCAGGAGCTGGTGGACGAGCTCCTCGGTGTCTGCCGAGTGCTCTCCCGGAGGAGCTTCATGCCGGAGCTGCACCCAGCTGCCAGGACGGACACCAGCCCTGCAGCCTGCAGCGTCCAGGAGAGCAGCAGCAGCTACCGCACGCTGGTCATCCTGCGGCCACCCCCCGGCCACTCCTTCAGCCCGGAGAGCACCAAGCGGCCGCCAGCCAGGCGCATCCGTGTGGCGCTGGAGTGCCTGTGCTCCGGGGAGCAGCTGCTGGGGCACACGTGCTTCCTGCACGCCGCTGGTGGCCAGCTGCCCACGGATCAGGAGTGGTACCTGCTGGACACCCTCTGCACGGGCTCCTACTTGGACCTGCAGAAAGTCACCCGCTGGGTGCAGATGTTGGTGCTGTCGGCCTGGCCGCTTCTGCCGCAGTCGCGCCACTGCCAGCTCACGGCGCTGCCCTCCGGCAAGTCCTGCAGCTTCCAGCTGAGCGGCGCCTCTGGCCTGCACTGCAGCATCGAGATGGCTCTGGCCGTGCATCTCAGCAGCTCAGGGACCCGCCTGAGCCTTGAGTTGCCCTCCAGCAAGTCCTGCAGCTTCCGGCTGAGCGGCGCCTCTGGCCTGCACTGCAGCATCGAGATGGCTCTGGCCGTGCAGCTCGGCAGCTCAGGGGCCTGCCTGAGCCTTGAGTAGGCAGCAGCCGGCTCTGCCAGCAGCACCGTGTGGGCCAGAGAGCTGCCACCTCTGAGACTCACCGCTGCGATGGCACTGCTGCTGGGGTGAGCATTGAAGGCAAAAAGGAGTTGAGGAAGGTGAAGAGAACCATTCCTCATTGGACATTTTTTGTTTTCTCTTACAATTCTTTAGTTCCTTATTATGAAATTTGAAAAATGTAGCTAGATCACCTCTAAAACCTCCCAAGGCAGAGCTGGGAAGGTTAACATGATTTCAAATATGTCTGAGTTTTTTTTGAGAAAAATTACATATCCATAGGAGTTTTCTTATACCACTTTTCGTTGTTTAAAAATAAAGTTCTTTGACTAATACTTGGTGTGCCAACATGTCACTTGTGATGTGAATACAGACAAGTCAGAGACATTAGTAAATTATCAATACAAGCAATTACAGTGGCAATTAAAAATTTCATTGACTCCCCACAAAACCGTGTTAACTGTAGTTGACAGCACCATGTCCACTCTATTAAAGGAAAAGAGAAAAATTTGCTCTCTACAGACTTACTATTAAAAGGAAGATAAAATTTCTTGTACCTGTCCCAGACGTGACAGAGCCTAAGTGAAAAATTATCATCACATCTCAATTTAAAACTGCTGGCAGCTGCCCCACTCCTGGACTCATTCTTCTGATCTTCAGCAGGGAGGTGGGGGCGTTCCTAGGAAAAGAAAACAGCACAAACTTCTGAGTAAAACCAAACTGTGAAACTGCATCAAGTCTGGGATCGTTTGGGCTGGGTCCTAACTTGCATTTTGTCAAGTGCTCGCTGCACTGCTCTTGTTGCTTCCCCCAAATTAATAATTACTATTACGCTAATTGTAAGAAGAACTTGACACCAGCAGTGTACCTCCTCTTTGTTTTCCTTCTGAGTTAGAACAAAATAAATTTGAAGATAGATAATCCCTGAAAATTTGTTCCTCTTCAGTTCCAAGTTGATCCATAACAATTCTAACTAACAGAGAGCAACAGACTATAATCTTTTCCAGAAGCTCTTCCATGGCTGAGGGAGCTTTTCCTGCAGCTTCTCGCACTTTCTCACAAATGCCACCCCCATAACCCCCTGCTACCAAAACCAGGTTATGCAAACTCAATATAGGTATTACTCAAAGAAAGAAAAGAAGAAAAACTTCTGAACTGCTCCCCAGCACCGCACTGGAATACACACATCACTGCCAGAACTCAGCAATATGCATTAAACCCCACAATTTCTTCAAAGGCTCCAGCAGATTTTGGGGTAAGTCTTCAGCAGAGAGACTGAAATCTGAGGAAGTGTGTTACTCTGAAATTTGCATTGTTGTTTTCTGGAAATAATTTAAACAGTTTTACATCTGATTTATTCCTCATAGAGAATCTCATTGTTGACACGGGATAATCCTTCAAATGTAAAATTTTCATATCTGTTTATTTTCTACAGCATATGTGGTAAATACTTTTAATGGGAAATGGGTGCATGAAATTAAAGCAGCTTCATTTCCATCCCAAACCTCTAGTCCAAAAGGTGCTGCAGTTTTGTAAATGTTTCCATTAGGATCAAGATATTGGGGTTTTAAGTAACTTCCTTTATGGATGATTTTGACCTGATACTTATTCAAATTTGAAAATTGGAAAAAATTGATCCAAAAATTGCTTTCTCCTTTTCTTCAGAAAAAAACCCCCAAAAACGTTTCTGCACCATCACTGGAGTTTTAAATGACCACTGCTAAATATTTAGAGGGGTTCACACCAGTGTCATTGCATTATTCTTTGCCTTCAAAGTGCCTGAAAATTTGCACATCGCTGTGTAATGAGAACACTTGTTCTTTTTATTTCTACTTACATCTGCTGCAAGGTCCTACTTTTTACAAGAGGTGAGCAGTCTGACTTCTCATGTCAGTGTTGTCTTTTCATTTTCAATTCCTCTAATTCTACTAGCTTTAAATTATAAACAAGACTGTTCAGCCCTACCCTGTCTGAGGTTTAGTTCCTTTTGTACACAAATGCTCAAGAAAGAGACAAGAGAAATCAGGAAGAAGGAAGAGTCCTGGCTCTCCTGGTGGAAGAGATTTGCTCTGAACTGGGAGAGACACAGGAGGAATTCACATGAGCTTTTCACCTCATGAATATAGGCCAGATTTGCATGTGTGATTCACCTGAATTTATAGTAAAACATGCAGGAGGCTGTGCATAATATTAGACCATTTCTGTTTTCAGGTATTGGAGAGCAGGGGAACGAGTTGTGGTGTTGGGTATTCCAGATGCTGTTCTCACTAATGAAATAATAATTCTTTCAGCCTTTGTGCCTAACATTCATTTTAAAAGCAACACCAATTTAAAGTATTTCACTGGTGGATGTATATGAAGAGACAAACACCATAACTTGCAAGGTGCCAATTTTCCATTTTTCTGCAGCATCTTCTATAATAGAGGAGATATTGGAGAGCTGGAGACTGCATTGGGCTTCACCCAGCAAAACTTGCTGTTTGCAACAGCAACCTACAGGGAGTGATCAGAGAAATGCTAGTTGTCCACATGAAATTTTTTCAGCATTTTCCTCAGGTATTGTTGAAAGACGAGAAATAAAGAACCAGGACATTTTTGAACATTTAAATTTAGTTAATTAGGGATCTTAGTAACATACCTTAAAAACCATGTGAGAAGACTTGCTATATGAAGACAACGGTGAAGGTGTTTTTAGCGTGTGGATGTGACTTCATGGTCACTTTAACTATGCAGAGTAAAGTGGAAGTCACCCTGTGAAGAGCTCTTTTATTTCTGAAACTGCTGGAAAGGATTGAGGGGAACTTAATGAGTTTTTGTGGAGTTCAGTGCAAGGAGAACATAAAGTCTTTCTCCAATTTAAACTTCTGGTGTTTCAGCCGTAAATGCCTAAAGCCAAAACAATAAACCAAACAATTTTTAATTCAACAAAAATTTATGTCACAATATAATTTTTATTTAGAAAGCATTGAATCTTATTTCAAACAGAGTTAGCAATACCAAATCCCAAAATGTTAGGTGTGGTATGAATTTCTTTAGTTATTGTGGGTTATTTTGTTATTTTTCTTCCAAACTATCTGGAGATAAGTATGGGGAAGGGGAAACAATAGGTTTGAGACAACATATTTTTTTCAGACCACCTGTGACTTAAATTAGTAATCTCGGTAATGTTATATCACATCTTTTTGTGGCACCATTTACAATGTAAAATTCTTTTGTTCTCTTGAGGAAAAGCACACTCACTGATTAGGTGCTTGTTTCCAGAGTGATATCACATACTCACTAAAGGTTAATATTTATATTTGCTAATGGTCCAGAAGTCTACAAAAATCTGAATTTTATGGCACTCAGAACTTTCAAATCTGTTTCTTTAGAACTTAAACATTTATGTAAGTCTTGCCATTTTTGAGCACAAGTACTAATTTTCTTTTTGTTATTAACCATGTATCTGAATTTATTGATAGCTCAGGCATATGCAGCCCCACAAAAAATGCAAACCTGTGCTACATGTTTCAGTCTCAAGTCCTTACTGGAGGCACATAATGGAATAAACCACCAAAACCAGAGTGAAATAGCAGCCCAGTCACAGAAAGCACTCCATCCTGAAGCCTCATGCGTATGGTCATGTACAACCTTCTTCTTTCCTTTTGTTTTTTAAAATTTTTAATGATTTTGGGTCAGTTTGGATACAGGGTGTATGAGATTTAAAATCACAAAATTTATCTGGTTCACCTGATCCATTATTTAGCAAAATTCTCCTGCAAAACACTTGAGAGAGGCACTTCCAGATGGTAGGAGGGACGAACTCGAAGCTAATTGCAGCTAGCTGGATCTTTTTAAATTCCAATGCTGAGCAACTGGGAGGGCAATACCCATGAGATGTTGTGTGTAAGCCTTCCTAGCTCAATTTCTGCAGTTCCTAAATCTGGCAATTTCAGATTCATAGCTGTGTCAGCTGCAGGGAATCCCAGAGTTCTCTCTGGGTCAGAAGAGTACTTTCAGAAAACAGCACATTTGGCTGGACACTTCCAGCTTCGTAACTCTTGGCTTGAGTATGTATTTGTAATGTTAAAAATGTACATTTTGTTCTGATTCTGCTAATCTCCATTTTCATGTGCAAAATAATTTGTGAGCTTCATTGACGTGTTTGTTGTCTCAGATTAACACCATTTCCTGGAAAGAGCATAGCCCTGATTTCCTCCAAGCTCACATTTCCCTTAGAGATATCAAACAAATCCTAGAAAAACATCATGTCCATTTACCCATTGTTTCTCAGAGGAATTCAAATTTTAGGAAAACACTTTTCAGCTCAAACTGGCATCTGACTCAGACATATAGAAAAAAAATTAAAAATTGAGTGTACTACCCACATGCCATGCTTGAAAAATATGATTTCACTATTTCTGGGACATTCTAGGAAGTGCCCACACTTCCACAGAGTCTATTCCCATTCATTCATAGAGACCCTGTGTGGATTTTGCTGTTCATCTCATGTGTCACTCTTCAAGCTGTGTCTGTGACTGTGAGAGAACACCTGATTTTCCAGCATCTTTGTACCCAAAATTGTGCAGCCCAGTCTCATTTCCAGCAGAGACATTAATAATGGCATTGGATGAATGAGAATATCATCTGAGATTTCCAGAAATCGCCAAAAGTAATTTCCATGTGGTAAGATTTTTTTATTTTATTTTAGGGTTTTGTTGGCTGAAATTTGACACAGAAACATCGGGACTCATGGGCAGTTTTGGGGATTTTGGCCACTGAGCCTCCCAGTTTGCAGACAGGTTTTCCAACTAGAGGTCAGCAAGTGACCATCAGAATATTTACCTCTGAAAATCTGGCTTTCGAGGTGTGGAAGTGACCTTATTTTTCAGAAGTGTGGCCTAATTTAATGAGAGGAAAATAAAGCACCTGGTAGAAATTCTCATATTTAGATACCCAGGACTAATAAGTTACTTCTGGTAAGTCAGATAAGAAAATTTTTA